GGGGGGATTATTTTACTCTTGGTTCACTGTTAGTCCGTTCTAAGCCCAAACAGGCCTGGTAAAGCAGAAACCATGTGCAGACTATACGTGTACAATCAATTTTTGGTCCGCTGAAGTACTCACTGCGGAGAATTTCTAGAAGAAATAATTCCTTTGCATTTCAATTAAATCATAAAGGCTTGGCTTCCCCCTCCCTATATTTCAGCAGCATGTTACTTGTACACTTGCCCGTTATTACTCAGTGGCACCACTGATGAAAAGGGCACTATTCATTATAGTTGAATTAACTGGAATTTGACTTCAGTACTAGGGCTGGACACAAACTACACCATCAGTAATCCACAGCTTATCTAGTGACAGTTTTGCAGACTAAAACCTTTCCAAGAGCAGACCAGTAATTTTCAGGCTACTTGTTAGTCTGTTCTTGCCCGTAATGTGTACATGAAAGGGGTGAGTGGGGAAAGAGAGCATTTAGTTTTGGGTTTTGACTTTCCACCTTTAGTTCCTCAAGGTGCCTCGTTCTCCCCAGCTTGTTATTTGCTGAGGGCAAGAGTCAGATGTTAGCATCAGCATTTGGTTCAGATTATGCACTCATGCTATTTTTCCATTTCAAGTCTGCTGAAGGATTTAGGCAGGCCTCTGCTTTGTTTTCATTTATTCACTCACAAGACTGCGGCTCTGATTCTCATCTCCCCCGAGTCCCCTGTAAATCAGCAGGCACTCTACTAAAACCAGTGGCATTAACTGGTATAGAAAGTATAGCAAATGAGACCGGAGCCTGACACTGCGGCCTCAATGCAGCACAGTGCTAACACCAGGTAAAAGTCAAGGCAGAGTAGTTCAGTTTTTGCTGAACAGAAAATATCCTCAATAAAGACCTGAATGTCTCTTCTTTTTGTCTCTTCCCTGGCAAAGGGTTGAGACTGATCAGAGGCACTTCTCCATCAGCCTCCTTCCTCTCTGCCCTCATCCTGCAACAGACCCTGTAACCTGTGAGCAGCCCTTCACTGCTCACATTTAACCCTTGCAACCCTAAGCAGGGGCTGCATGTGTACGTACTACATGAAGGGCCATGCTAGTGCAGGGAGTCTGAAAACACGTGTCACAAGCAAGGTGCATTTTCCCTCTGACAGCGAGATGAAAGGCTTATTACTGTAACATGATGGCCATACCTGCACGCTTCCTGCTCCTGGGCTGGGGAGGTCCTCGTCAGGCTTTATCTTGGAGCGCTTGTTGTGCATGGGATCTCCAGTGCTGCTCACTGCAGATTCACTTGTGGGTTTATTCTGCTGCAGGCAGTTGTTTGGTTGTTTTGGATTTTTTCCCCAAAGGAAGACAAAATTAGACTGTGATAAATATGTAGCTCCAAACAAAAATATGCAGCATCTGCTCAGCAACTTTATTTGGAGAAGCCACACTGTTAATTATATTGGATATGCAATTACATTGTGCTTCAATTACATAGCATTAACTTGTGGAAGAGCTGCATTACTCAACCTTGTAATGGAGCAGGGAGGGAACAGAAAGAGGTAATTCCTTGCTACAAACCAATGCTGGTTTTGTCAGGCCAGGGAGGGGTAGGAAGAACTTGATTTACTAAGTAACGGCAACTTCAGAAAGGCAATTCTGAGAAGTAAAATCACTGTGTGCTCAATTCAAATGAACATGATTTACTTTTTCACACTTGCAGGAAAGGTTTTGCACTTAACCTCTCCACACAAGAGCTCAGCTCTTCCACTGTGTTTCCCATTAAATGGTGAATAGGAAGAAAAACTGAACACTGTGAGGCTCAGCCAAAAAATCCCAGATGAAGTCCTGGACTCTCCCAAGTCAATAGCAAAACTACTGCTGACAGAAACAGGCCAGAATCTTGTTTTTCTCTTGCTGTGCTAGACTGAACACCATTATCTACACCTGTAAATGGATCTTGTAGGAATCCAGAGATCTTTTAGAGATATCTGAACTTGCATGGACCCCACAAAAAAATCAATATGCTTCCTACAGCAGCATGTTCTGCTTCTACGTTCGTAATAGCTAGCCAGGAGATAAACAGCTCCCAGGCTGATAAATAACCTATCCCAAGTCATCTGGAAACAAACAGCACTGGTTAATAACAGGCAAGCCATGAACAGTGATAAACTCCACAATCGGGGCCTGATTCACAGCTGCACATCCCCAGCTTTTGAGAATACACCTTGGTTTATGGAAATGATTAACACAAAAGTCGTTAACTCCAATTTTGCATAAATCAGAGAAAAAACTTTAAAACCTCTGCACTATCTCTGAGTTCTGTTGCCCACAGACTGAGTTACTCACACCTGTGTATTTTGGTCAACCTGACTTGGAGGTGAAGCTGCTCATCTTTAAAATGTTAAGTGTTTTGATGTGGTTTTCCCCTTTTCCTTACTGCCTGCCTTTATTAAGTTCCTGTGTAAGATCCAGAAGAGACAGTTTTGGAATGAGAAGTTGCTGCAGCACAATTAAATATTTATGAGGACCAAAAACCATGCTACCAATCAGGTAGCATACGCTCCTGTGATTCATAATAAAGGGATTCAAATGCTACAGCTGTAAGAGAACTGTTATCAAAGGGTCTCAGTGACAGTGGTGATTAACTGCCATCGAGGCAATGCCATTTATCTCATTTACTTCATTTTTAAATTAATGGGATGCAAAGGTGTCTTTCGTTGTCTCTCACCTGTGTGGACTCAGAAGGTCCAGAGCTGACCTGGACAGGGTTCAGCACACTGGGGATGCCAGGGATAGGTCTCTGGGTAGGAAAGGTTGGAGCAGGATGGATGAGTGGAGGGCTGTGTCCAAAGGCTGAACCTAGGGTTTGCTGACGACTTATAATTTGCTGATGCATTTGCTGGAGGGATACCGGTGTAGGAGGGTATGTGAAACTCAGAGCAGGACTGAATTTGGGAGAAAAAAGAGGGAAGATGGAGGAAAAAGATGAGGGTCACAACGGTATGAAACCACATAGATTAAACCTGTCAAATATATTGGACATATCTGCATTAATTGAAGTCAGGTTCCTCCTTCCCTCCCCCCTCCTATCTTTCTTTGCGCCCCAAAAGATGATAAATCCTGGGTTTAAATCCAGAGTTGGCCTGGATTTACTAGTGAGTGCAAAAATGCTACCATAACAAAACGTAACATTTTTTTCCTAACGTTTACCAGGAAACCACAGAAAGCCAACTGAAATAAAATTCAGAAAAACTGAAATAAAAGGCAAGCAGTTCAATAACAGCTATTTATTGCAATAACAAACTTTATATAAAGAAAAAGAATGGGCGCCTACATGCTTTATAGTACTTTTATTGATAATGCAGTTCCCCTATGTTCGCCTGTATGAAGCAGTTCCTTTAATCTTGGCTCATGCTACGCTCTTTCATATGTCTCTAGATCTTATTACAAGAGGAGAGAAAATCAATTGGTTAAATGTGTTCTGAACACCATGCTTGTCATATCACTCATTTGTTTGCAAAGATGGAAAGCTCAGTTCATCCAGAATGTCACCTAAAGAATTTCCATCAGCGCTGTTTGGTTAGAGAAACTGATGGATTAACCTTTCCCCTCTGAAATTGGTGATCAATGAGTTTCAATGTAGAAATATTCCAATGGGAAAGCGCTTCTCCTTCTTCCAGTTAAACAACATTAAATGTCTATTAAAGCCCATTATGCATGTTAATACCTGTCATCACTTCATTACTTCACCGTATTTCCCAGACTACGGTGACTTCGGAGGAAATTACACTGCCATCTAAGGACCTATTTTGTGGGTATTGCCAGAGCATTCTTTGTGTCACACTTGAGAAATAAATGGTGTGGAACGAAATCTTCACACACAGGAATATAAGATTCTACTGTAAACATCTGCCAATAACTTAAAATGATAAAAGAAAAAAAAAGTGTATTCATTATTCTTTTTCTTCCAAAAAACCACCAACCAAACGCAGTTGAAAAGAGCCATACAAATTTAAAACATTAGGTCTTAAAAGAGAGGGGTGTGAGCGTAATACCTTTCCATAATCAAGGATTCTTCTGATGTCAAAAGCGTGGATTTAATCCAAATTTATAGTCTGGAGCCTTAATTGCTGTTGCTGTTAAGTGCATTAACTGAAAATACCGTGATGCAAAAAGAGCTAAAATAATTTCAACCATTTTTAGCAGTAATTCTACAGGAATTCTGTGTTCATTAATATGACTATACCTTTTTGTCTGTTTGACTACAATCCATAAAGAGACAGCTTCAACGTGATTACATTACTATTATTGCTGGTGAGAACTCTGCATTACAATAGTTTGCCCATTTAGGACAGAATATCATTAAGAATACCCTGGGAGAATTTTACTGGTCTTTGACGAACTCTCTTTTCATTTTGCATTGTATTTTTTTTAATAAAGGGAGGCAGAAACGTAGTGAAAACAGTAACTGTTCACAGCAAGAGTTCGGGAGAAATCAGTAATAATATTCAGTTATTGCAGCTCTATAGTCCCTGCTAGTGTTCCTGTAAGCAACCATGAATGATTACAGCACAACTTAGCTAAGGTAGCCACTATGGATGATTAATAGGACATTAATCAAAAGATGCATATCAGGCCCAGAATTTGTTCACAAGCTTTCTTCTAATAGCTGATTTCATGTTCAGTGAGCTCTATGCCAGTTTGTTCAATTTATTCTTCAGTGTACAAGCCATTCATCAAAGAACATAATGATTTAACACCCCTTTTCCTTTTTAGTGAACAAACATTACTAAGTGTAACTACTGTGGTCTGTTCATTAAAAACCATACAATTACGATGTCATACATGAGGCTGAAACTGCCTCCTCACAATACCCCCACATTTTTTGCTTCTATGTATACACTGTGAGTTCATCTCATACACTTCAAACACTAGACGGCACCATCCTGAAGATGCTATCAAATCCACAACATGGAAACAATTTGGATGAAGTATTTTATTTCTCTGTGAGTGGTTAATGCCTAGGACATCTTCACTCTTCAGCTGAGTCAGTTTAATGATAAAAATAAGTGGACTGATTTCACTGGGAGCTCCAAGCACACAGATCCCTTAGAAATACAGGTTGGGTATTTTTTCCTATCTAGGTGTTTCAGCATGCTCAACAATACCTCCAGCTTTGCAAGTCCACGTTCAAAACTTTAGTAACAGTCTTCAGATCCTACTTGGTAAAAAGTCAAAATTCAGCCACAAGACATGACTGATTTAAGACCTCAGCTCAGAGATGTAGATCCTGCTCTGTGACTAGTTACATGACCACCTGCATCCCAACAGTTCAGGAGGGGGCATGAAGGAACTGCTGTGATTTGAATATATTTTTATTTCAGAAGGATGACTAGAGACTCAGGAGCTTGGATGCTGAAGAGGAACCTTTGGTCTCAAGTTGGAAACAGACTCTAGGAGCCCCCAGATGTGTCAATTAGGTACTTTTGGTCAGGAATCTGTTCTCTGAATCCTCTGCTGCACATAGAGCAACACAAAAAGTGATGATGCCTCTTCAATGGCAGAATACATTTCTAACTAAAGGACAAAAGCAGCTCTGCTTTAACAAATACAGAAGCTAGTTTCACTGGCCTGCAGCGACGTGCCTTATACCAGTACAGTACACATGCCTAAACATTAAGTAAGTATATTTGCTGTTCCCCTCCTGATATAAATAAACGCGGCTTCCATCGAAAGGATAGATTTATGTCCTCCGTATTTACATCTGCTTTAACACCATATGAACCTTCAGAAGGAGGATGCTAAGCCAGGCATTGCCCACTTCAGTCCACCTTGCAAGCAATGCAAACTTGTAGGGTATAGCAGAGGAGACAGACATCACCTTCACTAGCGGCTCTTACTGGAAAACAATGACACCAGCAGTAGATGCATTAAGGCCATGGCTGGACAGATGTGCTAAGGAAAGGAGGAATCCATGTTTCTTTAGCATCTATCATTTGCCTTGTGCTCAGCAGCAAAGGTTGAGTCTGAGGTACTTGGATTTTCCTAAGGAGCCTGGCAACCTGCGCTTCATTCCCTCTACCTCCAAACTTCAATCATCTCCAAGTGAAATGAAAAGGAGATTGTGAGGGAGCAGAGGAATAGCCAGAACAGCTGTGGGGAGTACTCGGAAATGGTGACAATGATTCAGCCACTAGGGTGATTTCTTAAATAGCTGATAGCTGCCTTCAAATAATTCTCTCCAGCTGTTTCTGGAGAGCTCTTCATAAAGCAAAATGACCTGGCTGGTTTTAACCTGTGCAAGATGCCATCACAGGGCAACCTGGACAATTTTTCTGATCTGAAAAGATCAGAAGGATCTGAAGAGAACAGAAGGTGTCTTTCTCTGCCTTTCAGAAATAATTCAGGCTGCTTGACAATGAGATTGATGTTGTGGGCCAAAAAGAAGAAAAAGAAATCAAAGTTTGCCACACTGCGAGCATGGTGTGCTCTGCTGGGAAGGGGAGACCTGAATTCCTGCCCTCCTTCCCAAAGTTTTTAATGCATTTTGTTCAGTAACTCTTGAATATGGGATGTGTGAAGAATCCCTGTAGCGCAGTGTCCTCTCAAACACCATGGGATCCTTCTGCCTTGACCAGCAGCTGTACTGCCTCTTGCTGGCCCCACCAAGCTCACACTGTTTTCTATCCAGAAGGCCACCATAGAATCACAGAATGGTTTGGGTTGGAAAGGACCTTAAGATCATCCAGTTCAAACTCCCTGCCATGGGCAAGGACACCTCACACTAGATCATGTCACCCAAGGCTCTGTCCAACCTGGCCTTGAACACTGCCAGGGATGGAGCATTTACCACTTCTTTGGGAA